AAGACGCCCGAGGGGCACAGACACGGCCTGTGCGTAGTGCAGGCTGTCTGCACGTCTGCCGGGGTCTGGCCTGTCGGACATGGAGCTGGCGGCGTGTGAGCAACCTGCAGCCCAAGCACAAGGCTTCCCGATGGGAGGGGGGGGCAGAGGAGGAGGGGAGACGGGGCATAGGTGCCCATGTTCTTTCTCTGTTTTACGTTCCTGTTAAGGAACTCATCCTTAGTAAAGACCATGTGCGATGTTCAGGAGTGGCGCCCCACCTCTGGGCAGTGGCATGTGGCATGCCCCAGGTTGGCAGCCCTTCTGGGATGCCTCCTCTCACTCGGGCTTTGGGCACACCCTGGCTGTGCCCAGTATGTGCCAGCAGGCGCCTGGAGGCTGGACCTGGGTGGGGGGATATGCTTACAGGCCCTGCCTTCCCGCAGCCAGCCCCCTGCGCTGAGCCAGCTGGTGAGCCTGTACCTCGGGCGGTCCCACTTCCTGTGGAAGGAGCCCAGCATCATGAGCTGGCTGGAGGAGAACGTCCGTGCGGTCCTCCAGGCCGTGGACGCGGGGGACCCCGCCGTGGCAGAGTGCGAGAGCAGGTGAGGCCGGCGGGGAGTCGGACCGCTCTGGGCCGGCAGGTCCTCAGGGGAAGGAGGAGGCTGGCTGCTCGGGCATCTCCATCGTGATGTGGGGGAGGAAGGCTCCATTCCGTGACTGTCCTTTGTCTCCCCCGGCCCAGGCGGAAGGTGCTGTACCAGCGAGCGCCCAGAAACATCCACCGTCACGTGGTCCTCTCTGAGATCAAAGAAGCTGTTGCTGCGCTGCCCCCGGTAAGGAGCAGGGCTGCTGTGGGAGCTGGTGGGAGCTGGCCCCTCCCCCAGGGCCGCTAGAGCTGCGTCCTGACACCCTGGGCAGAGATTGCGGCGTGTGGATGGTGGTGGGTGTCCCACCCTCACCCAAAGCCTGGGGCACAGTAAGCACAGCCTGGCCGCTGGGGTCACTCCAGCAGGAAGGCCCTGGCCAGACCAGAATCTGCTGACAGGCGGCAGAGAGGGGAGCAGAGGCACAGCACAGGACTTGGCTGCATCTCCGTTCTCTGTCTCGTTCTGCAGGAAGTGACCACGCAGTCCGTGATGGGCTTTGACCCTCTGCCTCCTTCAGACACCATCTACTCCTACACCAGGCCAGAGAGGTACCTGTCCCTGCTCCTGGTGCCTTTGCATCTGGCTCTCAGATCAGAGCTTCGGGCCTGGGACTTGCTGCTTCTTCCAGACAGGCTCTAGAGCAGAGTGGTTTGGGGTCGTGGATCAGCTTTTCCAGGCCTGGAGCTTTCCGTGTATTTGTCTGACCAGGAACTTCACTGCATCAGGTTCTGTAGCAGGTGCTGCACATACAGTGGGAAGCAGTCAGGCACCTCTGTCCTGGTGGCATGTCCAGTGCAGTGGGGAAACATCTCAGGTATAGAATCTGGAAAGTGCCACGCGAAACTGCCGAGAGTAGTGGCGTGTGGTCTTTAGGAGGATACACTGAGATTCGGGGGGCCCTCACCCGGTAAAGAGGTGACAGCTGCTGGGTGTGTATGGACAGCTGCCTTTTTCCTCTGGCCTCTAGAGCTGAGTAACTGCCTTACCCGGAGCCCTCGCCAATGTCCTAAATCTGGAAGACTCACCAACAGCTTGTCCCATTTAAGGGAGCATGAGCTTTCAGACCTCAAAAGAACACATTTTGTAGAAGTCCTTTTTCTCTCTCACCAAATTATAAAAGTTGGATTGCATATTCAGAAGGTAACAGTTCCCAGTTACCTGCTCCAATGGAAATTTTTTAGTGTCTTAGGCTCAGAGAAAAGCAGCATGCTGGACATCTTGGCATTGAGGCGTGGCTGTAGGATTTCAGGGATTGTCCCCCACCCCCTTGAGCTTTCATAGCAAATAAAGGTCACTGCTCAACAACACCTCAGTGCCTCATAGAGCTGGGATGCAGTACCCCTGAGGAACACTGCAACCAAAGCTTTTCTTAGCAAGGCACCTGGCTGTGGTGGGCTGCGCTTCCCTCCTGGTCCAACAAGCCAGATTACAAAGGGCCACCCCCCAGCCCTGGAACATGCTCCCCGCTGCCCCTGATGCCAGCAGTACCCCCTTAGCTGACCGTGAGTCATGGCTGCTGCCCCCTGGGGCTCCAGGCCCCAGCTCAGCCGCGTCTCCAGCTGCTGCCGTTCTGTCAGCTTCATTTCCTCCCTGTTCTTTCTCTTTCAGGCTGAGCCCCGTCAGCCATGGAAACACTATCGCCCTCTTCTTTCGGTCACTACTGCCCAGTTACAGCATGGAGGTAGGTGAGCTCACCTGGCCTCTCTGCTGGCCACGGGGTGCAACATGTCCCTTCCGGTGTGACTGCAGCATCAGCGCTGCCAGCAGCAGGGCGCCCTGTCTGCCTGGGAAGCTGGGCGTGGCTACCTGAGCCCGCAGCTGCCGATGGGACAAGACACCCCTGTCAGCAGGGCGGCTGGATCCCACCCTGGTGGCCTGTCCTCCTTAGGTAGACGCGTGTATGTGGCTCCAGAGGCTGCTGCCTCGACAGGTCCCGAGTGCCCAGGGGCCCTGCTCAGATGAGTCTCGTTGCCGCAGGGGGAGAGGCAGGAGGACGGAGGGGCCGAGGGACTGGACCACAACCAGGGCTTGAACAGGCTGATGCTGGCTGTGCGAGACATGATGGCCACCTTCCACTTCCACGACCCGGAGGCTCCGCACGAGGACCATGCCGAGGGGGACGGGGAGTGGGACTGAGCGCGCAGCTCCACGCCCACACTGTACAATTATGTTCCTGATTTGTCTGGTCACACTGACCAGTTCCCTGAAGTAAAAATGCCATGTCCGCCCGCCTCCGCCTTCTGTAAACGTGAACGTGACGCCTGCGCATGTGAGCTCTCTCCCAGGCTGGGTCAGTGCCCAGTGTGGAGCAGGGCCTGTGTTCTGTCGGAACTGGGGCAGGCAGGCCCGGGGCCGGGGGGAGGGGGAGGGCAGGCACACGGCTGGTCTTTCCGTCGGACACAATGGTTTTATTGGAAAACACTGAGTCGGGAGCCTGCGAGATGGTGGCTTAGGAACAGACGGCAGAGATTGGGGGCATTTGATCTGCAGCATGACCAGGACAAGGCGGCAGGCTTGTTGGCTGATTGGCAGCTGGGAAGCACACCAGGCTGCCTGTGACTCAGCAGCCTGTTTGGTTCTGGAAGGGTTCAGGCATTGCTGTTGTCTTCAGGGCACCCTCCCGGCCCTGACCTCCCCAAGTTCAAGGGAAACCAGACCATCTTTGAACCAAGACACTGACACAGCTCTGGGCCAGCTCTTCCTGAGACCCACTGTGCAGAGCCACGGGCCGGCTGCACAGCTGTGACCCGCCCGCTGGTGTGCTGGTCTGACACGTGCACCCCTCCTGGAGCTCTCCGTCCCCCCGGAGCTCCTCGCACACTGAAGGTCCACACGTTGCGTGCCCACCGTGTGCCTCCTGGTGCTGGGGAGACAGCAGTAACAAGACAGAGACTTCCTGCTCTCACAGCCGCCTCACGGGTGAGTCAGGCTCGTCCTCTCGTGGCGGGTGCGCTCTGTCCATGGCCATTCCTCACGCATCTCCCAGGGGCACAGAGGGAAGGATACAAACGGCCTCAGAATTATCTGACTTCCTTACACTTTCCCCCGTGACCGTAACGAATCACAAAGTGGACTTTTCCCCACTCGGCTGTATCTGCTGTCTCCCTCCCACAGTCCTGACAGGCGAGGGCATGAGAACCAGCGGGAGGCCCGAGGCCTCCCAGGAAGAGGCTGTGGTCACCTGCCAGCGGCTGCCCAGTCTCATGCCCTTTGAAGTCTCAGGCTGGGGGGGGGCACGGGCCCCTCAAAGGCCTCCTTCATAGAGCCGGAAACAACAGCCCTGAAGAGTGGTGACGGGCAGGGCCCTGCTCACCCAGCGGAAGGCAGTCCTTGGGGGCGGTGTGGCAGGAACCGTGGACCCTCACAGCTGCTGGGACCACCTTCCTGCCACAGCACAGCCTCATGGTCCTGCCCTGGGCCCTCTGGGGTCCTCCACCAAAGGGTCTCGGAGTGGGGGGAGGGCGCAGTGCGGCCCGTCCTGTGCCTGCTGCCTGTGGAGCTGGGAGAGGCCTGTCCTTCCATCCACACACGGGGAGCGGAGACTGCACACTCAGAAACAGGCTGCTGGGAAGTGGTTTGGCCACATCCACCGAAGCTGGAGATCGGCCTCAGGCCACGAAATCCCTTGTCGCCCAGAGGGACGGTGGCTGTTCACCGGAGCCTGGCAAGAGCGCCCTGGACACTGGAATTGGTTGGGAGCTGCACATACAACAATCAACCAGTATCTGTAATGCTTTCAACAATATAAATAAAATTTTAAAAAGCAACCAGTGAATGCCTAAATAATTGAAACAACAAACTGATGTTTCTCTCTCTCCCTTCCTCTCTCTGAAAATCAAGGAAAAAAACAGACCTCCCCAACTCTCCTGCCCCATCTGCACCCCCAGCCTCTTACCTGTCTAGTCTCCTCACTTCCCCTTCCCTCTCTGCCTACACCTCCAGAGGAGGTTTGTGGTCAGATGCCATCCTCAGTGAGAAAGTGCTGGGGTGGCATGAGGCCAGCCTGGTGCCCACGGGCACTCTGGACCCACGTTCCCACAGCGACCACGTGAGGTCTGTCTTGGAGTGGCTCCTGGCGTGGAGCCTGTGGTGTCCTTCCCGGTAGCTCTGAGCCAACCCCTCCCTCCCTCCAGCCAAGATGACAAAGCTTATCTTCCAGCCCATGTGGCCAGGCTGTCCTCGGGCAGTACTCAGCAAAGGGACTGGGGGCCTTGGGGACGGGCTGCCCTCAGTGAACATCTAACGGAGTGGGGCGAGGGCTGGGGGTGGACGGCCAAGGCCAAAGACTTCCTGAGGCAGAGCAGCACCACTGGCCTCAGGAACAGGAGGCCTCCAGGAGGTGGTGTTTGCCATGGTCTGGAGGAGGGTTTGAATGTCTGGCAGGTGGCGAGGATACCCACACAGACCTCTGGAGCCGAGGCCTGATGGCGCTGGCTGGCAGAACACGGTGACTGCAGTGGCTGTGAGCAGGAAGGGGAATGTAGGCTGTGCCGGAGTCAGCGGCCTAGGGAGCCGAACGGCCCTGGTGCCAGCCTGCCGCCTGGTGGCAGCAGTGGTGCCCAGGGTGCTCTGATGAATCCCTGGGCACACGCCCATCATGTGGCAGCCCTCAGGAGGAGGGGCTGAGCGGGCAAAGTGAAGGATGTAGAGAAAGGGTCCATTCTTCCTGGGCCTCAGTCCTGCCTGGCCTGGGAGGCGGGAGGCAAAGAAATGTGAGGGCCTAGGCGACCACTCCAGGGAGAGGTGGGGAGTCGGCCAAGGGCCCAGCAGGCTGGTGCTGGGGAGCTTGGGGTCCTGGCTGGGAAGTGACCAGATTGGTCGAGAAGCAGGGGCACCTGGGCTGGCATCTGTCCGGCCAGGGAGACGGTGAGTGTGGGAGGGCCCTGGGGGTGCATCGGGCCCCACTGGGGGCACCATGAGCTGAGCGGATGCCTGCAGCAGGAGGCCCCTTCCCGCTTGCTGGGGGGACGATGCTTGCACAGGGCTCACAGAGGAGGCTGCTGGGCATCCTCAACTCCACCCCCCCAGCCACCCCCCACCCCGGACCGGCCCCAAACCAGACAGACCCCTGGTGCCTGGAGGTGTCCGTTCCCGACGGGCTCTTCCTCAGCCTGGGGCTGGTGAGCCTGGTGGAGAATGTGCTGGTGGTGGCTGCCATCGCCAAGAACCGCAACCTACACTCACCCATGTACTTCTTCATCTGCTGCCTGGCCGTGTCGGACCTGCTGGTGAGCGTGAGCAATGTGCTGGGCACGGCCGTGGCGCTGCTGCTGGAGGCGGGCGCGCTGGCGGCCCAGGCGCCCGCGGTGCAGCAGCTGGACGACGTCCTGGACGTGCTCATCTGCGGCTCCATGGTGTCCAGCCTCTGCTCCCTGGCCGCCATCGCGGTGGACCGGTACATCTCCATCTTCTACGCGCTGCGCTACCACAGCATCGTGACCCTGCCCCGGGTGTGGCGGGCCATCGCGGGCATCTGGGTGGCCAGCGTGGCCTCCAGCACCCTCTTCATCGCCTACTACACCCACACGGCCGTCCTGCTCTGCCTGGTCAGCTTCTTCGCGGCCCTGCTGGCACTCATGGCGGTGCTCTACGCCCGCATGCTGGCGCAGGCCTGCCAGCACACCCGGGGCATCGCCCGGCTGCACAAGAGGCAGCGCCCTGCCCCCCAGGGCCTCGGCCTCAAAGGGGCTGCCACCCTCACCACCCTGCTGGGCATCTTCTTCCTCTGCTGGGGCCCCTTCTTCCTGCACCTCCTGCTCATCGTCCTCTGCCCTCAGCACCCCACCTGCCACTGCGTCTTCCGGAACGTCCCCCTCTTCCTGGCCCTCGTCATCTGCAACACCATCGTGGACCCGCTCATCTACGCCTTCCGCAGCCCCGAGCTCCGGAAGACACTCCAGGAGGTGCTGCAGTGCTCCTGGTGAGCGGGCGCCGAGGGCCACGGCCAGGTGCCTGCCGGCTGGGGGAGGGGAGCCATCCCATGGCCCGCTCCTGTGTGGCCGGGCAGTCACTGGCCAGGAAGGACAGACTAAGTGATCGCCGAAGGTGTGGGCGCACTGACCCTCTGGGCCAGAGAGGAGTCAGCAGACATCTCCAGGAGTTGTGGGGGTTACGGGAAGCTGGGGAGATGGGGCCACAGGCACAGGGCAGGCCTGGGCTCCTGGACCGACATGGCCCACACGGGAGACATCCCCCTGCACCCAGAGATAGGCGAGGACCCACCTGAGCCCGCCCATCGGGAGGTGAAGTCCGTGGCTGGCAGAGCACCGAGGACCTCAAGAGAAGGGACTGTGATGAGCAGGACCGCGCCTCACGGGGAAAGGAGTGAGGTCCTGTCCCGGGCAGGGGGACGTGTCCGCAGGAGCCGCAGTGGGCACGGGGCTGATCTGGGGCTTGTGGTGCTGGAGAGCTGGGGGCTCGGCCCATTTGTTTGCACCACACAGGCCCCTCAGATCGTGCCCACCACTGCCTGCTCAGGCCGAGGCCACAGCCATTAGTTGGAATTAGTGACCAGTACCCGGGGCCGGGAAGCATCTGGGAATAAATGCTGTGCTTGGAGCAGCTCCATGGCCGTCCATGTTGGCTCATTGCAAAGGTGCTTGATGCTTGAGGGTGGAGAGCCATGGAGTGGCCTGGTGGGAGTGAGGTAGGTAGAGTTATATATCCCAGAACCCCCACAGGGCCCAGCATGCCTGAAGCCCCAGCCCCGTTGTACCTGCTCTGATGCTGCGTCTGCCTTCTCTGTAAATGTGAACCCGGCCCCGGGCAGCCGGAGGGAGGAGTCCTCCCCAGGCACCTCCATGGGGAGGAGGCTGACTGGTCCCAGCTGCCCTCGGCTGCAGCAGAAGCAGGACCTCCGTGACCCTCTGTGACCTTGGCCAGAGCACAGCCGGCCCTCCTCCTGGCCTGCTCTGGGTCACCCCCAGGGGGTCCAAGGTGCAGGGTGGGTCAGGACGGGTTCTCGTTCCTCCAGCCCTACCAGCCCTGGCAGATATTCGAGCCAAGGCGGCCCAGAATGGGGCGAGGCTGTCCAGTGGCTGCAGGCGGTGTCCCTGGGATTGGTATCAGGGGTGGGCCCTGCTGCATGGTGTTGGGGGCCCTGAGGTCCTCCCTGTGCTGAAACTCGGGGCCTCTTTCCGGGGAGCCACTGGTTCCTCCAGACGCCGAGCATGCAGCCAGCCCCATTCCTGGTACAAGCTGCATGGAGGGGAAAGTGACGGCATCAGCCAACTCCCAGGTAGTTCTAGATGCGTCTGCAACCGCCTGAGCAGTCTCCACCCCACCCTGCTGGCAGCTCCAGCCCTGACTGCTGCCTTGGGGCTGGGAGCTGGTTCCCGGCAGGGCCAGCCTTTCTGGAAGATGGACAGGACGGCGAGTCAGCCTGGAGCCCTCTGGGGATGGAGGGGAGCCGGCTGGTCTGACTCCATTCCACAGGGAGGCCAGCCAGAGGGGTCCTGCCCTACGGGATGCTGCAAAGCTTCTGCTGCTCAGACAGGGAGGCACAGCCAAAAGCTCACCAAGGACCCCCTGAGTGGGGACGGGCGGAGCCCCAGTGGCCAGTAGCCAACCACAGAAAGCCACCTCATGGACATGCGGGGGAGGGGCTTCTCTTGAGAACAAAAGACCCGCTTCTAGGCTTGCCAAATCGGGGAGCTTCAGGAGGAGGGGGGAGAGCGGGCCGGACACGGCCACACCCCACCAGCCCCCTCCTGGGCACACACTCAGGACACAGGTGTGCCCGAGCTCTCTCAGCTGACGACGGGACGCCCTGGAACCACAGAAGGACCTGCTCTAAGGTGTCTTCACTCCATGTCCGAGCCCAGGAGAACGGGAAGCCCGTGGGCCTGTGTGTGGGGCACAGTGTCTGTCCTCACGTGTGGGGTACAGGACCCCTCCCGGCACCTCTGACTTCCCCAGTTTTTCCTGCAGGAACCTCAGCGCACACAGCGCTCCTACACGCGCCCCTGCCCCCACTGCCTGGGCCCCACGTGGACGGGGGGTCCAGACCCACAGATGACATCGGGGAGCAGCAGGACTGCACCCCCCTCTGTGGGTCCCTCCCTGGTGTGTCCTCATGGCAGTTCCCGGCACAGCATTCCCTGAGCCACTAGTGCCGCCTGCGGGCACTGCCTGGCGGGGGTGGGGGAAGGACCGGGGTGGGAGTGGGGGGGGGGCCACACAGCAGGGCCCTGGGCAGCAGCAGCGGGCAGGGGTGGGGGTGGCTCCCCCACTGCAGAGGGGGCCGCCACAGCCCTCCCGCACCCACGGCCACGCTGGCTCAGGATGTCTTAGCCCTGCGCTGGCTGTTGGGCCTTTTTCCTCTCCCACCCCAGCCCCAGCCCCAGCCCAGCCCCTGCCCCTGCCCCAGCCCAGCCCCTGCCCCTGCCCCAGCCTCTGCGGGGTCCAGAGGAGCTCAGGTACCTGGCCGGCCCCCCCGTGCATACACTGGGAGCGGGAGGCGTCCGCCGCCCCCATTGGGGAGGGAGACGGGGTCCGCCCCTAAGCAAAGCCGGTGGAGCTGAGGGATAGCGGGGCGGGGTCCGAGGACAGAGGGCCTTCCATTGTCCTCCCTGGTCCCGCAGACCCTCTTCCCGGGAGGGAGCGGCCCCGCCCGCCGCGGAGACAGACGCGGTGCAGAGGCGCCGGCCGTGCCGCAGCGGCGGCGGCGCCCCCATTGGCCGCGGAGACGCCGGCGGGCGGGGCCGGGCCTATAAGAGCCGCGGCGGCCCGGGCTCCGCACCGCCCGGCCCTCCGCTTCCCGCACCCGCCGCCGCCGCCATGAGGGAGATCGTGCACATCCAGGCCGGCCAGTGCGGCAACCAGATCGGGGCCAAGGTGAGGCCGCCCCGCGCCCTGTCCGAGCCAGCCCCGTCCGAGCCAGCCCGATCCAAGCCCTGGGGAGGGAAGAGGAGCCCCGGGGAGGGAAGGAGAGCCCTGGAGAGGGAAGCGGGAGCACCGCCGACCTCTAGCGCAGTCGCCCCGGAAAACCGATGACTAAGTGCCGGGCCGCCCTGACCCCCCGCCGCCTCTCTCGACCCCGCCGGCCCCGCGCCCCCCACCCCGGCGCCCCTCACCCCCACCCCCGGGGACCAGCGGGCTGGCGGGGCGTGGCTGCACCGGGTCCCTCTCGGCCTGGGCTGGGCGGGGGGCGAGCTGGGAGGGGGGTGAGCTGGTGTGAGGGAGGCTCATCCTCTGAGCACGATGCCCCCGCCCCGGGGACGGGGTCTTCCGAGCGGCCGGGGCGCCTGGTGACCCCCGTTCTGCCGCGATCACCCCCGGCGGCCCGGCCCCACCCCGTTCCTTTGTTGGGTGCGGGTTGGGCCCGGACTCGAGGTGACCTTGGTCCAGGACCAGCCCCTCCCGCAGCGCAGCCCCCCTGGGCGGACCCCCAGCAATGGCACCCCGAGTCTTGGTGGGACCCCGAGTCTGGGATGGGACTGGGAACAAAGCGCCTCCGGGCGCCGGGAGCTCATTGCGCCGCCCCTCCGTCCATTGTGAGCCCCCCGCCCAGCGGCGGAGACCGAGGCGGGAAGACGTGGCCCGTTCCCGGGAGGCGATGTCAGGGCACCGGGTCCGGGAGGCTGTCGGGGTCCAAGGTCACCCCGCCCGGGCCGGACCCAGCCCGCCGCCCCCCGCCCTTCTCGGTCCCCGCGGGGCTCAGGGCGGGGCCCCCCCGGCCCCGGCACCATGGGAGGGAGGAGCGGGGCTCGGTCAGGACCACGGCCAGGGCCCAGCGTGGACGCGGCCCAGCGGATTCCCCGAGGAGGCGGCGGGGGCTGGAGACACGCCTCGGAAAGAAGGGGCCCAGGAAAAGCTTCCTCTGGAGGCTGTTGCCGTGGAAACGGCGAGAACAAAAAGCTAATTTCTACGGGGCCGGGGCACCCACGTGGCTGACATGTAAATTGCAGCTTGGGCTCCAGGGCGGAGGCCCTGGGATGGGTCCCGGAGGCGGGATCCGAGGCTCCCAATCACGGAGGACACAGCTGCGCTGCCCGGGGCGGGGCTGGGGAGGGGAGGCCTGGGGGATGGTGGCCTCAAGCCCAACCGGAGCTCCGGGCCGTCCTGGCAGCTGCCAGACCAGGTGGGAGGGGCGGGTTCCAAATCAGCACAAGGTCCAGCCTGCTCTGAACATCTGCTCCTCGGAGGGCCAGGGGTCCCCGGGATGGGGGTGGGGGTGGGGGCAGCCCTGAGCCCCGCGGGCCTGGGGGGGAGGGGTCCATGCCTCTCCCTCCCTCCACAGCCTGACGGCCTCCTCTGGGGACAGAGGGGTGCACCTGCGGCTGCTGGCCACATTGTCCTCTGCAGACAGAGCGTCTGCTCGTGACTTTTCATTCCTTTCGCATTGACTTCTAAATGTATGTTAGATTTAACAATTAGTATCTGGTCATTTTAAACACATCAAACAAGAGAGACGTGCGTTGGCCGGAGAGGAATCATTGCTTCCTTTTCTGTCTTCCGCCTCCCTGCCTGGAAGATCTCCAGAGACCAACCCTGGAGCAAGTGCCCAGAGCCCCCTCCCTCCACATCCCCTCACTTCCCCCAGGTCCCCCCACTTCCCCGAGGTCCCCCAACTTCCCTCAGGTCCCCCAACTTCCCCCAGATCCCCCACTTCCTGAGGCCCCATCTGGAGAGTCTGCCTGCCCACCACCGGCAGCTGCTGACTGGGGCGGTCTGGGCACCTCTTTCCTGCCTCCAGTCCTGAGTGGAGCCTGGATCGGGCTGCTGGCTCTGGGGAGGGTGGGGTGGGGAGGGAGGGAATTTGGAGCGATCTGGACTAGGGGGCTATGCTCCTGACTGGGACCGTACGGGTTGGGCTCCGGGTCAGGGATCCGCTCCAGGGTGGGTGACAGGGTGTGGCCCTCCCCCAAGGATGAGAAAGCTGCTCTCCCCGGACGAGGAGGAGTTTAAATCTATGACATCAGGATGCACGGGGCACCCTGCCCCCCACCACCGGAGCGAGAAGCCCAGAGACCCTCCCTCCGCCCTCGGGAGGCAGGGCCACCCTGGGCCTTTGTCTGGGCCTTTCTCCCTGCCGCAGGGCGTGGCCGCGGGGGGTGGGGCTCCCAGCCAACCAGAGGGGTTTCCCTATCCTTGTCCCGCCCCTTCCCTGCGCCTCCTTGGTCCGTTACAATTGGGTTGGGGGCGGGGCTGGGGGGTGAAGAGTGGGGGAGAGATTTGGGGTCTTGGAGGGGCTTAAACCCCGGGAATTGGCCAGTCCCCGCCGCCCCCCGCCCCATGCTGCCCGCCCCCTCCAGCCCCTCAGCGGCGGGCGAAGGATCAGCACCTCGGACAGCGCTCTGGCCCGTGTCTGACCACCGGACACCAGGCAGAAAACTGGTGAACTAGGAGCCTGCCTGGACACTGGGTCTGCGGCCCCCTGCCAGTTTCCTGACCTGTAGTGGTGATCGTAATTATTTATTATTTAATGTAAAAATTGTACTTTAGTATTTATCAAATGTTACACAGTCTAATTAGATCTATTTAATGTTTTAAATTATAATCTCTATTCGTTTTAATTACAAACACAGTTATTAACATATCCCCCTTAACAAATGGAAACAGTGCAGGTAAGGTTGTGCCACTTAACCACCTCCCCTCCAGATCCCCCTCAGCGGGGGTTTCATTTTTCCAGCTCCTGATCTCCAGGCCTTTGTGGAAAGTACGGCATCTGTCCTGAGGTTTCCTTTGTTACTCTGTTATTTCTGTGTCTTTTCCCCGAGGATATGTCTTTTTTTTTTTTTTTTTAATCTTCACCTGAGGATATTTTCCCATTGATTTTTAGAGAGAGTGGGAGAGAGAGGAAAATCGATGTGAGAGACACATCGATTGGTTGCCTCCTGCATGTGCTCCGGCCAGGGCCCAGGTTGGGGAGGAGCCTGCAACCAGTCTGACTGCAGGACCCTTTTGTCTGCAGGCCGACACACTATCCACTGAGCTACTCTCAGTTTTTAAACAATTTAATCTTTATTATTATTGTTTTGCATGTGAAGTTAACACGTGCACGTGACAAAGAACTCCAAAAGAACCAAAGGGCATGCTGTGATTAGAGGTCTCTCCCCCAACCCAGAAGCATGGGCCGTGGCACCACTGTGTCTGTGTGTCTGTCCGAGGCTTCTATGCTGTGTCTGTGTGTCTGTCCCAGGCTTCTATAGATAGATACTAGGAAGCTCATGAAAACTGAATTATGGTTGATTTTTTAACTGGGCAGCCTTCTCACTGCACATGGCTCCTATGAAGAGGCCTGTTGCTTCTCGATGACCTCACCCCCATTCAGCTTCTGAAAGGAATCCTGAGGAGCAAAAGGGAGGGGCACTGGGCCAGTGGCCATAGCATATGACCTCCTGCCTGCAGGGGCCAACCGGAAGTGCCCTTGGGGGAGGGCAGAGCTCTGTCCAGCAAGGGACTTGTCCTTGTGCAGACACGTGTGCTCCTAATTCCACACAGCACTCAGGCTTCATCACACACTGTCACACACTCCCGCAGGTAACTCCACGCTCACAGCAGCCTGTTTCCATCCTCACACCCATTAAAAGGATGTGGACACTGAGGCCCAGAGCATCTTCAGGACCTGCCCACGGTCACGTGGCTGGGAAAAGGCGGTCCAGCTCTGAGCCTTGGTCCTGGGCTGCTCCCCTGGCGGCTGCAGTCAGGGGAGAGGAGTGTAAGAAATCCTGTGGGTGCCTGCCCAGGAGGAGCGTGAGCCCTGAGGGTTAGGGCTGTGCCAGCTGTGGACGGAGAGGCTGGGTGACCTGGGCAGGTCACTCCCCACTGGGGCCTGTGTTCCTGTGGCTAAGGCTGATGGCGTCGGGACACTGCTGGGCCCTGTCGCTGGCCGTCTTCGGCCCTGAGGGCACAAGCATCGTGGACTCTGTCCCCTTTCTGTGCCTCTGTCTCTTCGTCTGAAAACGGAATAATAAAAGCCACCCAAAGGGGGTGCTTGTTGGTTACTCTGGTCAGCAAGTGCAGAGCTGGTTTGTGTCAGCCGAGTCTCGAACTCCTCGGCGAGCTCTGGCCCCGTGGACATGACATTCATTACACTCTCCTGACAGATGGCGGAGCTCAGGGCTCTCCAGAGTCTCCCCCAGGGGCTACTGCAGGCTTTGGGGCCCAGTCTGTCACAGCCCCTGCTGACCCCCATTTCCCCTGCAGTTCTGGGAGGTCATCAGCGATGAGCACGGAATAGACCCCAGTGGCAACTACGTAGGGGACTCGGACCTGCAGCTGGAGCGCATCAGCGTCTACTACAACGAGGCCTCTTGTGAGCACCCCTCCCTCCCTGGGGGCTGGGGGACACCTGGGCTGGGCCCCCTGGACCTGCCCTCCCATTGCTGGGCTGGCAGGTTCGGTGTATCCGGGGACTCACCACAGTGAGGTCAAACATGTTCTCGGCCACAGGCACGTGCACAGTCCAGGGGTCCGACAGGATCCGGAAGGTCCCTTCTGAGTCCTCCTGAGGGTCCAGAGCAGGGGTCGCCTGGAGGGCTCAGGCAGGGAAGCTTAGCGTCTGGTGTGGGATGATGCCCACGTTGAACTGGAGACATTGGTCTGGGCTGCCCAGTGTCAGTCCCCATATCACATGTGGTTCCAGCCCTCTGACCCAGAGTCCAGTGGGGGCAGGATTTAGAGGAGGGAGAGCCCTGAGCCTCCAGGATGCTCATCCCCCACTCTGCCCTCTCCCCTCAGCTCACAAATATGTGCCCCGGGCCATCCTGGTGGACCTGGAGCCCGGGACCATGGACAGCGTCCGCTCTGGGGCCTTCGGGCACCTCTTCAGGCCTGACAATTTCATATTCGGTAAGTTTCTCTCTGGGCAGACCCTGCACCGCAAACCTAGGCCAACGGAAACAAAAGGCCACAGCCCCCTCCCCCCTCTACAAACCTGCAGGCAGAGCTGACCCCCTTCTGCAGCTGACACTGGAGACCGGAGAGAGGCTCTGTGCAGGGAACAGAGCCACTGTGCACTTCAGTTAGAGCTGTGCAACTCAGAACTAAGGACTGGGCCCTGTGGGACTGGTGGCCCAGAGGCTGGAGGGAGCTCATGAGCATGTCACTGGGGTCCAGAGGCGGGGTGATCCTGTGCCCTTAGGGCCTCCCTCACTTCTTCCTTCCGGAGCTTAGCACCCCCACCAACGGGCACCAGTCCAGTCCAGACCCAGAGCTGCAAGGGCCTCTGGGATTGTAGTTGATGCTTCGGGCACAGCCCAGGAGGGTGGGTGGGCTGAAGGGAAGGGAGGATGGCTTCACCCAGGACCCCAAGCAAGACAGAGCAGCGGCTGCACTCCAGGTACACAATTTCTGACCAGAGCCCTTCACACAGTGCCATGCAGGAGCACAGCTGGTGTGGAGAGCCGTGGGGAGAGGAGGGGTGGACCCCCGCTTTTAGAGGGAAAGCGGGCACAGGGCTGCGACAGGGGCCCTTTGGGGTGGGACGTTCAGGTTCTGGAGGCCTGACCCTGTCCGTGCCACCTTCTGACTCCCCGCAGGTCAGAGTGGGGCTGGCAACAACTGGGCCAAGGGGCACTACACGGAGGGCGCCGAGCTGGTGGACTCCGTCCTGGACGTCGTGCGGAAGGAGTGCGAGAACTGCGACTGCCTGCAGGGCTTCCAGCTGACCCACTCTCTGGGCGGGGGCACCGGGTCCGGGATGGGCACCCTCCTCATCAGCAAGGTGCGGGAGGAGTACCCCGACCGCATCATGAACACCTTCAGCGTGGTGCCCTCACCCAAGGTGTCGGACACGGTGGTGGAGCCCTACAACGCCACGCTGTCCATCCACCAGCTGGTGGAGAACACGGACGAGACCTACTGCATTGACAACGAGGCCCTGTACGACATCTGCTTCCGCACCCTCAAGCTGGCCACGCCCACCTACGGGGACCTCAACCACCTGGTGTCGGCCACCATGAGCGGAGTCACCACCTCCCTTCGCTTCCCCGGCCAGCTCAACGCCGACCTGCGTAAGCTGGCCGTCAACATGGTGCCCTTCCCGCGCCTGCACTTCTTCATGCCCGGCTTCGCCCCGCTCACCGCCCGGGGCAGCCAGCAGTACCGCGCCCTGACGGTGCCCGAGCTCACCCAGCAGATGTTCGATGCCAAGAACATGATGGCCGCCTGCGACCCGCGCCACGGCCGCTACCTGACCGTGGCTGCCATCTTCCGCGGCCGCATGTCCATGAAGGAGGTGGACGAGCAGATGCTGGCCATCCAGAGTAAGAACAGCAGCTACTTCGTGGAGTGGATCCCCAACAACGTGAAGGTGGCTGTGTGCGACATCCCGCCCCGAGGCCTCAAGATGTCCTCCACCTTCATCGGCAACAGCACGGCCATCCAGGAGCTGTTCAAGCGCATCTCCGAGCAGTTCACCGCCATGTTCCGGCGCAAGGCCTTCCTGCACTGGTACACGGGCGAGGGCATGGACGAGATGGAGTTCACCGAGGCCGAGAGCAACATGAACGACCTGGTGTCTGAGTACCAGCAGTACCAGGACGCCACGGCCGAGGAGGAGGGCGAGATGTACGAAGATGACGAGGAGGAATCCGAGGCCCAGGGCCCCAAGTGAGGCAGCAGGGTCCAGGCCGCGAGGCCCTCCCGTAGCTGCCAGCGCCGCCGCCCGCCACTGCTCCCGCTGCGCTCACAGCACACCGCCCGGCCCCCGAGTGTCTGTCCTCTGTACTTGCAGCGCTCAGCTCTGTCTTCCCTCCGTAGGTCACTCCCATTTCCGTGTCTCGTGTGTCAGCTCTGGGTCTGAAGTCTTATGTGTGGGCTTTTTTTTTTTTTAACTTGTTTGTGTTCATATTTGGGGGAGGGGGGTACTTAATAAATTAATTGCTGTCAGATACCCCTCCCTGGTGCTGGAGATTTCTTTCTATTCCGGGGAGTGGGGCCCAGAGGGTTGAGGAGGGTCGGAGGGACCTGGGCAGGGCAGGAGTCCGCGGTCTCCGCGGCGGGTGGCTGAGGCCGGCCTCTGCTTAGAGCCTGCAGGTGTGGGATGATGGCCAAGCCCCCAAGGGGCGCCTGGAAGTGATGGAGGGGAGATGGGCCTGGTTTGGAAGAGCATCAGCTCAGAGCCCAGCCAGGATCTCTGAGGGCTTGGAAACAACCCCTCGTCCTGCAGGTGACGCTCATTCCGGAGCTTTCCTCCGGCTCCCCTGTGCGCTGTGAGAGGCAGGGAGGCCGTGCTCCAAGGAGAGGTAGGCAGGGAGGATGCCAGCACCCCTGAGAAAATGTGTGAAGGGTTGGGGCTTGTGGGGGGCGGGGAGTGGGGGGCCAGGGGCTGCTGGTGGCCACAGCACCCAGGCGCAGGCTGGCAGGGAGTGATGGCGGCCCCTTTGCCCCCTAGTGGTCACTTCCTGTGGCTGCAGGGCACCTGTTGCCCAGCACGGGCGCCTGAAAGGTGGACCTTGGCTGCCCACTGTCCTCCACAGGGAGAGAAGCGGACGCCCACGAGGTGTGAGTGCCCCGGGCTCACGCTGGTTGTATGCAGAGCTGCCCCGGGCCCAGTTACCTCCTCCCTCAGCCCCCAAACCGCTCCCTCCCAGCAGGAGGGCGGCTGCTCTCTGTGGGAAGGAGGGAGCTGGTGGGACTGGGACTGAGGGCCCTGATCCAGACAAGGACACTGAAGCCGGGAAAGGGCCAAGCTGTGCCGCAGCCACAGAGAAGCCGTTCTCGCCACTGATGCTTGGAGACGCCTGCAGGGTGCAGGCAGCTCAGAGACCCTCTCCTCTGCTCAGCACCCACATGAGGTGGCAGGGCGGGGTGGGATGGGATGGGGTGAAGTGGGTGGGGTGGGGTCTGAGCCGGGTTCTCCCTGCAGCGTGGTGACATAGTGACGGGAACTGGAGGGCTTCCCCCACAGCCGGGTTGTCCACGGCTCAGGTTCTCTAGGGTTCTGAAAGGAGTGAGACACCTGCTTGATGCTGACCCAGGTCTTCCAGCTCCTAACAACCACAGGAGCTCTTGCTGGGCCCAGGCCACTGCCTTCGGCCCTCCTCTCACTGGGCCTTTGCACCACTGTCCGCTTTTCACGGCAAAGGAATGAGTTCAGGGAGGACGTAGCCAGCAAGTGGCAGAGCCAGGGTCCGGCCCAAGGCTGTGCCCCCTTGATGTTGCTTTAAATGGCTCCCGATCACACGTCCCTCCCGAGCACCAGTGCCCACAGGACCTCATCTCTGCTCACATCACTCAGTCCCCCTCTTTTGGCCACCTGCCCTGGAGGAGCTGGCTTTTCTCACACGGAAAGCAGTGAGAGCAGCAGGTGCCATAATAAGGTTGCAGTGTCAGCTCCTCTGTGTATCTGTTATCATTATTATTTTAAAAAATGTATTTTTATTGACTTCATAGAGGAAGGGAAAGGGAGAGAGATAGAGACATCAATGATGAGAGAATCACTGATCTGCTGCCTCCTGCACGGCCCCCCAATTGGGGGTGGAGCCCACAACCCGTGCATGTTCCCTGACCAGGAATGGAACCTTGACTTCCTGGCTCATAGGTCAAAGCTCAACCACTGAGCCATGCCAGCCGGGCTGTGTCTGTTATTATTAATGAGGGGAGTTTTTTGCAGGGACACATGGGCAGGAGGGCAGGAGGAGCCAGCTCAGGGGCTGCTTCGTCTCAGAACCTCCTAGAAGCCCGACACCCTGCAGAGTGGGTGACCCTATGGAGGGTGTTTTGGGTCAGCCATCCACTGGCTGTCTTGCCCAGATCCACCTGCCCATTGCAGTCTGGATGAAGGGCCAAGGAATTCATGCCTAGGCTCCCTCTAGCCCCAACCCTCCCCCGTCCCTCTGCCTGGCCAAGTGCAGGGCTGTTTGGGAGCGAGGAGATGGCCTCACGCCGGCTGGGCTGCCAGAGCAAGCACAGGATGCCCGTGGAAGCTGGATTTCAGATAAACAACACTCCACTTGGGCATGTTAATACTAAGCAACGGTTTCTGAGTTGCTAACGCCAGTCATCCTAGACAGGGGGGGCCCCTGGCAGCACCCATGGTGGTGAGCTCTTCACTCATCACAACCTGGCAGGCAGATGCTTACAAATGAAGAAACGGAGGCCTGCAGATGGATGAGACAGCCCGAAGGCACCGCTGCCAGCAGCAGGCCACAGCGTGTGGCCAGGTCCCCTTCCCCCTCTAGGAAAGAACAAGTCCCTGACCGGGGCTCGAACCCGCCACCCTTTGGTGTATGGGACGGCTGAGAGATGAGACAGAGGCCGAACACCAGGACACAGGCTTTCTTAGAGGAGAAGGACCTGCCGGGCTGCCTTCCACAGGAAGTGAGCACAGGTGCAGAGGGGAACACGCCTTTTGAGGGGAGGAATGGGAAGGGACGGGGCTTAGGGCACTCAGCACGTGCTGATTGGTAGTTTTATATAAGGCACGTGATTAGGCACTTAGGGACTTGGGAATCGGGCCTTAGGGTATTTGGCAGGTGCTGATGGGTGGTTCAGTGTACAATCCATATAAGGTGCTTGGTTAGGTGCTCAGAAATGTCCGGCCGCAGGTGCAGATTATGTCATTCTCCGTCCATCAGCTGGGGGAAGGGAGGATCTATCAATGACGTTCTAACACTCACACACGTGCAGTTTACTGTATGCACACAATACCTCACTCCGCTGCTCAGAAAAAGGAGACTTCCGATGCCTCCTGTCTCAGCACAAATCAGAGCCATGTGTTTACAGATGGTCTGCACCTCAGTCCTCTCACTTCCCCTTCCACCGAACCAACCCCGCCACCGCACTGACCTGCTTTCCTTCACAGGCTCAGTGGGCTCTCGCTTCCTGGGCCTGTGCACTCGCACGTTCCCCTCTGGATCTCCAGCTCCACAGCTGGTGCTCACACACGTCTGGTCTGCGCAGTGGGACATTCCCCTCTGGGGCCTCTCTTCTCCCTCCGTCCACGGAGCTAAGTGCCCGCTGTGCTCTCTGTGAAGGCCCAGCAGCAGCGAGGAAAGCAGACAAACCCTTGCCCAGCCCTTCCTTTCCGTGGTGGTGGTGGTGCTGGGGGTGAGTGTCGGAGACAGACCATTAGAGTGAAAATGTGTAAGGCAGCAATGAGGATTACTGAGAGAAGCAAAGCAGGGACAGGGAGCCCTGGCTTCAGCACCATCCCCTCCCCATCCCCCACTGAGCCCCGGTTTCCTCCTCTGTAAACAGGTAGATGGATGCTCTGAACACCACCTGGGGTCTCAGGTGGACCAGCGCGCAGGGCCCTGGATAAATAAATGCGTGGGGTGACTTCACCTCTGCCTCAGTTTCCCTCCTGACAAGCTGGAGAAGCCCATCTCCCTATTCCTTCTATTCTGCTCAACCCCTGGGGTTTAAGAAAAAGAAAAGCCACCTATATTTTTTCAGAAAGTGCAGTGGGTCAGACTTATGCAGCCCTCCCCACCCTTGCCTCACCATTCCATCCTCAGCAGCGAGATAAGCATCCCCCAGGCCCCAGGGGGACGGGCGAGGCCGGCGCTGCCATTGGCCTCCGGGCCGCAGGCGGCAGCAGCGGGCGGCAGGCGGATACAATGTAGCGCGCAGGACGGGCGGCGGATACAATGTAGCCGGGGCGGCGGCGGTCAGGTGAGCGCGAAGAGGGCGGAGGGGGAGCCCGGGGGTCGGCGAGGGCGGGGGTGCCGGGTGGAGGGAACCGGGGCTCGCGGCCCTGGGTGCCCCCTCGGCCTGCCGCTCGGAGCTGGGGCGGCCCCTTTCCCGACGCGGTCACACGGGGGAGGGACCTGCCCAGGGCGCCCGGAAGGGTCAGACCCGCGGGGGGACGCCTGCCTCCCGTCCTCACCGGGCGCAGGGGGGCTGGTGGCCTGGGCGTCCCTCACCCCGGACGGGGGATTTCCCCGCCCCCCCCAATCACCCCCGTGACACTGTCCCTGCCTGTCACTGCTTCCGCTGTCAAAACGCTGTCAGTGCGATTCTAAGGCCCCAGACGGCATGGTGGTGCCGCCCTCCGGAGGCTGGGCCCCTCAGGCCTCAGTTTCCCCACCTGTCAAACGGGTGTGACGGGGGGGGGGGGCGGGGGGGGAATGAACCAGCCCTGCCCCTGTGAGATCTGCCAGTGAGGGTCCCCAGTGTGTGCTGCTGTTTGGAGTGAAAGCAGAGGAGGGACCCTGTGGGGGTGGCCGGTCCCTGAGGCCGGAGGCGGCCACCCTTCCAGGTCAGGGACAAACAACCCTTAAGGGGCAGTGACCCGCTGCTGCCCCTGTGGGATCCCGGCCGCCTCCTTCACGGTGTGAGCGGACAGGATGGAGGAGACCTCCCCTCTCCGGGAGGAAGGCTCGGCGATAAGGGCCTCGGGTTCCAGGCACAGGCAGGACACGCTCGGCCACGGTGAGGGCCGGAGTCTCAGCCTGGGGTCCCTCGGCGCCCGGAGCTGGGGTTTATTCCGGTTCCCTTTCACTGCTCGCCAGGGAGCCCTCTGCCCCACCAGAGCGCACTCTCCGAAGGAGGCAGTGTCGGGGTGGCCGGTGTCTCTATTCCTCCTGGTCTCTGCCTTCCGGACTGTTCCTCTGTGCGGGCTGAGCTCTCTGTGGGGTGACCCTGTGGGCATGGGGGTACTGGTGTCCCTGGCCGCCGTGTGAGGACATCGTCTGTCCACCCTGGCAGCCCAGAGGGAAACGGGATTCTCCGACTTGTCAGGAGGGAGATGGAGGCCGAGAGAGGTGAAGTCACCCATCATCTGTTTATCCGGGGCCTCTGTGCCAGGCTGGGGACTGGCACTGCCCACGGGGAGGTGCATGAGAGCTTTTTGCAGGGGGCTGGCAGCCAATGAGAGCTGCTGGGCAGAGCTGAGTTGTTCCTGCCTTTGAGTTCTCTAGCCGCACCTATTTTTAGTATGTTGTTGTTGTTTTTAGGGAGAGAGGAAGGGAGTGGTAGAGAGAGAGAGACATTGATCTGTTGCCTCCCGGCGCACTCCCTGACCCATGGCCAGGGCTGCTCTGGCCGTGCTTTAAATGCTGTGGGCTCCAGGCGGAGACCTCTGTTGGAGCTGCCGGCAGTGATGGCAGTGTTCGACTGTTCAGCAGCCGCTCTGGACACTCCTTCTCCGCTGTCTACAGTGCTCAGTCCTCCCATCCGCCCCGGAACTAGGCACGCTCCCTTATTTACTTACGACAAGAAAATGGGGTCACATCGCTCATTGCTGGGAGAGGCAGGGTGTGAATCAGATCTGTCTGCATCTTGATAATAATAGTGCCCGTGGTTAGTGTTACCCAGTATCTAGGGACGCTCCCTGTGTGCTGACCAGGTGCTCAGAACCCGATTTAACTGATTTAATCGCAACAACAACACTGTCCAGTGGGCACCATTATTATCCCCATTTAAAACACGAGGACTTGAAAGCACAGGTGTAGGCATTTGCTCAAGGTCACACAGTGAGGTGCGCACAGAGCTGGGGTTTGAATGAGGCCGATTTGTGTGACTTCAGAGGATGCTGTGGTGATGGGTTAGGATCTGTTCTGGCCACAAAAGACAGGAATCCTCTCCCAATCGCAGTGTTTTAAACAAGTTTATTTCTCATTTTAATGAAGTCCCAGAGTGAGTAACACAGGGCTTCTGTGTCACAACCCAAGATGGCTGCTCAAGCTCCACCCCTTCCGTCTGCATCCCAGACAGACAGACAGATAGCAAGAGGCGGGAAGAGATGAAGAGGGGCACCCTCCTTTAAAGAACAATTCCCAGAAGGCTTAGGAGAGCTTTCTGTTTACATCCTGTTGGTCAGAACATAGTCGCATGACAACATCTAGCTGCTGGGAAATCATGTAATAGGATGAAAACCAGGGTTCCCGCCCTAGCCAGTTTGGCTCAGTGGATAGAGTGTCAGCCTGCGGACCGAAGGGTCCCAGGTTCGATTCCAGTCAAGGCCACATGCCTGGGTTGCAGTCTTGATCCCCAGTGTGGGGCGTGCAGGAGGCAGCTGATCAATGATTCTCTTTCATCACTGATGTTCCTTTCTCTCCCTCCCTCTCTGAAATCAATAGAGTTCCTCACTATCAACATAAAACCAGACCTGTGCTGTGGCTAAAACAGTAGGAACACATTTTATTTAGGAGGATTGCAACAGAGGATAGAGACCTCTGTGTGGAACCGAACTCTGAATAGAGCATTGGACACTGGACTTACAGCCAGGGGCAGGATGGGTCAGCAGATGTAAAACTGCTAAGCCGTAATGCCGAGTGGACAGGGGATTCTGGTTAAACGGACCTAACGTCTCTGAAAGCTGAGGTGGGGGCAGGAGCAGTGGCAGCGGGAGAGGAACGAGGACCCCAATCAGCTGTGAGGATGAGGGCCGCTTGGGCCTGGGAGATGTCCTGGAGCCTGAACAGAATCTGGTCAGCAGAGACTCTTGTCACCCAGGAAAGAGGGTGGGGGTCACTGGCAGCGGGTCTAACACCCTGTGAGCTGCTTAAAGCCTCAGGCAATAGGAGAGGGGGCTTGAGCCCACACACCTGGGCCGCCCCTGTCCTGACTTGGGGGCAGAGAGCCAATGGTGCCAGGCTCTGCCAGACTGGAGCTGCCAGCCCACATCCCACCACAGAGATCAGACAGGAAAACAGGTCCGAGAGGTGGTGGGGGTTCCTGACGTTGCAGTGGTTAGGATGGGGGTACCCTGGGTATGGCTGTCCCCTCTGTGCTCAGTTCTCTTTCTTGGGGGAGGGCAGGAAAGAATCACGAGATTGATTTAAAATATATATTGATTTTTAAAGAGGAAAGTAGAGGAAGAAACATCAGTGATGAGAAGGAATCATTCCTCAGCTGCCTCTTGCACACCCCCTACTGGGGATTGAGCCCGCAACCTGGGCATGTGCCCAGACTGGAATTGAACCCAGGATCCTACAGTCTTCAGGCCGATGCTCTATCCACTGAGCCAGACAGGCTAGGTCTTTTATAATTAGGAATTACCACTGACGGTAAGCGGCTGTAGAGAAAGCATAACCCACACCCAGGCACTTAGTACGAATCTTTTTCTTAGCTCTACTTCCTGCAGATTCATTCCTCCCTGAAGGCCTAGGAATGTGGCCCAGCTCGTTAGGTGTGGGGACCTGGATGTCAACTGCCCCCGGCCAAAGCCCCTGCCTCTGTGGTGCCAGAGCAGCCTGTGTCCCTTTGCTGAGCTCTCAGGGGGCGGGGACGGGGGGGGGGGGCGGGGATGAGGGGGCGGGGAAGCAGTGCGGGCTGTGACTTAGGCACTTCCTGCCTCTTTTTTGGGATCCCAACGTCTGAGGCCCTGATGCAGGCCACGTGGAGTGTCAGCGGGACCCAGGCCATGGAAGGCCCTGCCCCAAGCCTCGTGCAGGTGGCACAGGCGGGCTGGGCCTGGCTTGGCTCCAGGGTTCCCGGTTCCGTGCTCTGGCGGCTGTCACGGAGTTGTGGTCGGGCTGTGGTTGGGGTGGTCTGAAGGAGAAGTGGTAGCTGTGTGTGGACCAGGAGTGAGGAACTGAGTCCTGGTGGGTGTGTGTCATGGGGCAGTCAGCCCTCTCAGCGGACCATGAGGGCGGGGCTGGGCTGGAACTAAATGGGGCACCTGGGGCCAGAGGACTCTGTGCTGGGAGGCTGCCTGCAGGGCCCCCTGGGACAGGCCATGGCCTCCTGTCCTGCCTGTGAGCACTGGGAGTGTGTTGGCCGCCATCATCCTACTGAGGAGACCACAGGAGGCCTGGCTGAAGGCTGAGCTGGTTTGGGATCCGCTGAGGGTGGAGGCTGTGGTGTGGGGGCCTCCACCGGACCCCCATGGAGATGAATGAGGCCAGGCATTCCTCTGAACCCTGAAATGCAGAGAGGGGCCGGGCCGGGTGACCAGGAAGCTGTCTGCTCACCTCTGCCCCCACCCCGCCCCGCCCCGCAGGGGGGATGCTATGGAATATGATGAGAAGTTGGCCCGGTTCCGGCAGGCCCATCTCAACCCCTTCAACAAGCAGCGTGGGGCGAGGCAGCATGAGCAGCGGGCTGGGGAGGAGGCCCCCGACGTCGCTTCTGAAGGTGGGTGTGGGGGGCGGGGTGGGGTCTGGGTGGGCAGTGTGACCCTCACACCAGCACCCGCCCGCCCTCAGTGGGAGGTGCTGGTTTTCCCCGGAGCTACCTGCTCTCCACGCTTTCCTTTGCAAATGGGTCCGGGCCAGGCCCCCCTGGCACCTCCCGTGGCTCCCTGAACCTCAGGGGCCCCTCCGACCCCCAGCGACCCAGCTTCCCGCTAGGAAAAGGCAGGCTGGCTTCTCTCCGTTGCCTTCCACACCTGCTCTTGCTCACTCCAGCGACCCTGCCTGAGCTGGCCCCTGGGGAGCCGGAGTTCCACTGTGCCGAGCGCGTGATGGACCTCGGCCTGTCTGAGGACCACTTCTCCCGCCCTGTGGTAAGGCTCAGGGTGTGTGTGTGTGTGTGTGTGTGTGTGTGTGTGTGTGGTTGGGGTGTACCACAGTCCGCAGGCAGAGGGGTCATGTGCATCTCAGCTAGGGTTCTTGACATCTGAGGTCCAGGTGACACCTGACACCCATTAGCAAAACCCGTTGGAGGGCTGGACCTGGGAAATGGGTTTGGGGCTACTCTTCTCATGTAGGGCTGTTCCTCTCCCTGCACTCTGGCTTCTTGTGATGCATCTGGGGTTCCACAGACATCTGCTGGAGGGGGGTGGCGAGGGCGGGAGAGAGGAAAACTCCCTGCCCACAACCCCCACCAGCCACGTAGCCGGGATGGCGTCTCATCAGTTGTAGGTTTTGTGGCGTTTGATGGTTTGCTTGGTCACTGTGAGGTGCTGGGGGTTGGGGTGGGGGGTGGAGCTGGGCTGTCTCTGGGCCTGGCGATTAAGCCAGAGCCACTTCCTCTCCTTGGGGACAGGCGAGTGTCATGTCCACAGCTTTAGTGAAACAGCACTGCCAGAGAAGCGAGCGAGTTTCTAAAAGAAGGAAGTTGTGTTTTGTAAAACATCCTGAATGAGGTCTTCAGAGGCCTGTGGGTAGATGGGTCCAGCTGGGGGCAGGCGGAGTGGGCGGTTCCTGCTGGGCCTGAGCAAGGTCTGCTCTGGGCCGACCTGTCCACGAGGGCGGGTCTGGTGTGGATGGAGGCCGTGGGCGGCCATCGGCTGGTGTGTCCCCCCAGGGCCTGTTCCTGGCCTCGGACATCCAGCAGCTGCAGCAGGCCATCGAGGAGTGCAAGCAGGTGATCCTGGAGCTGCCCGAGCAGTCAGAGCGGCAGAAGGATGCCGTTGTGCGGCTCATCCACCTCCGGCTGAAGCTGCAGGAACTAAAGGCAGGTGCCGGGCCGGCCGCCCGGGAGGCGGGTGGGACGGAGTGGGAGGCGGGAGGCCTGGGCTGGCAGAGGCTAGCAGAGGGCAGGTAGAGAGATGGGCTCTCTGTCCCTGGGCAGACTCCTTCTCCATCCGTCTGATCCTAAGGGGCCAGTCCTGGGTCGAGTGACCACCCACTGTAGCAAGTGAAGTAAGTCCCACCTTGAACCACGTGACTCGGATTGGGAGGCGGGGCTTCCTGAGGGTGTCAAGGTCGGGGTGATGGGTCCCGGCAGCCAAAAACCATGTCTATAAAGTCTTCCCAGAGTCTGTGCATCTGGCCTGGCTGCACTGGCCCGGGAGTCCCTGGGAACTGGGAAGTGCTGTATTCATTAGGATGTAGATATGGCTGTAGTCACAAAGACTGCAAACCACAGCGGCTTAAAGGACGGGGACGTGTCATTTTACTCAGAGGTGCCATTGATGGTCCAGGAGCCGTGGCAGGGAATGGTCCTCCTGACAGCCCCTGGGTGGCCACACTCCCGTCTGTGCATGGCCAGCAGAAAGAAGAGAAGAAGGGCAGAAAAGGCCATGACCCTCCTGCTCACATACCCTTGGCCCTAGGTGCAGCACCCGGGCGCAAGGGGTGCTGAAAAGGTGGTGCGGGCCTGGCTGATCACAGGGGCGCTCCATTGCTAAAGAGAAAATGGTGACATTGGGAGAAACTCAGTCGGTTACAAGAGATGCCTGGGAGGAGTAAGTCAGGGGGCTTCCCTGTGACCCCGGTTCACCGGTGACCCTGCCCATGGCTCTCCCCAGGACCCCAACGAAGATGAGCCCAACATCCGAGTGCTCCTGGAGCATCGCTTCTACAAGGAGAAGAGCAAGAGCGTCAAGCAGACATGCGACAGATGTAACACCATCATCTGGGGCCTCATCCAGACCTGGTACACCTGCACAGGTGGGCAGGCTCGCCGGCTCCCGGTGGGCAATCCCGTCCCCAGGGCGGGCAGAGACTGCGCAGGCCTGCTGTGTTCAGGTGACTCAATTCTCGGCCGTGTCCTCGGTGTTCGCTGAGCCCTGGGCACGAATGAGGGAAACCCACCTTCGCCGGGCTCCATCCACCCCTGCGTTTTTGGTATGATGGCTACTGGCTGTTCAAACTTAAATTTAAATGAGTTAAAATACATATTTAGTTTCTCAGTTGTACCACCCACATTACAAGAGCTCGGGGGCCGCAGGAGGGAAGTGCAGAGAGGACGCTTCTATCATGGCAGGGCACGCCATTGGAAGGCAGTTAATAAGCGAGGGACATGGTGTGTTAGACCAGAGAGCATGGTCGAGAAGAACAGGAAAAGGGAAAAGCAGGTGTCGGGGAGAGGGTTGGGTGTGGCTTTAGGGTGGAATGGAAAGGCATCATGTAACATTGAAGCAGAAACTCGTAGGTCAGGGACCAGCCAGGCATATATGTGGGGAAGAAGGTTCCTGCCCGGAGGAGCCCGTGCAAAGACCCTGTGGTCGGTGTGTGCGGTGTCCTCAGTGAAGCAGAGAGCCGCTGGCTGGGGCGTTGTGTCTGAGAGGTGTGGTCGGTGTGTGCGGTGTCCTCAGTGAAGAGCCACGTGGCTGGGGCGTTGTGTCTGAGAGGAGGTGTGGTCGGTGTGGGCTCAGAGGGAGCTGGCCTGTGGGTGAGCTGTGGCCTCAGCAGGGCCTGCAGATACTGAAGTTGTCACGGGGTTACTGGCTGCTGACTGAGCGTGGACTGAAGGAGGGATGCAAGGTGGAGGGGGGGATGGCACTCTGACCAGGGTGGGCGGTTGGGGGTGAGAGGTGGTTGCTAAGGAACTAGCGGAAGGACTAGGAACGTGTGCGTGAGAGAACAGCTGGAGTTAGTTTTCCGTCTCAGCAGGTGGGATGACGGATGGGTTTCTGAGGCTGAGATGGGAGCACAAGGGCGGGTTCGTAAGAAAGAGCCTACGTTCCACGCAGACAGGGTGGGTTTAGAGTCCTTTCGGGGTCCGGGTGGGAAAGGCAGGTTCAAATCTGGAGTTCAGGGGCGAAGGGCACACTCCTTCAGGCCCAGGCCCTGCGGTGAGATGCTCTTGGATTGGCCTGGAACCTGAGTGGCCCCTCTGGGGCTCCTGGCAGCTGGAGGTCAGCCTGGGCCTCAGGACCCCACCCTCTAAGAGGCATATCACTGGTCCCCGCCCCAGGGTGTTACTACCGCTGCCACAGCAAGTGCTTGAACCTCGTCTCCAAGCCCTGCGTGCGCTCCAAAGTCAGCCACCAAGCTGAGTATGAGCTCAGCATCTGCCCGGAGGCCGGGCTGGACAGCCAGGACTACCGCTGTGCCGAGTGCCGGGCGCCCATCTCTCTGCGTGAGTGCCGGGAGGGCAGGGGGAGGCCAACATCTGGTGGGAGCACTGGACACATCCTGCGGCCAGGCCAGCATGGCTCCTGCAGGTGCCGTCCGTCTCCCGGGGAAGCCACGGGGGCCGCTGTGGCACTTTCTCACGTGTCACGGGCAGACGGGGTTCCAGCCCGGCCCCCTAAGAGTTCCCGGGGCTGCTGACCTGCACTCGCCCTCCTGGGGGCAGCCCTGCTGTCACACGAAGCCCGCAGTCGGCACGCACTGCCAGGCCTTAGAGATGTAGTGATGCTGATTCATCAGGCCCGCTCAGCAGCCTATTGTCCCATTTTACTGATGAGAATAGTGAGGGCAGCACGATGCTCTGACTGCCTGATGTCCCATGGCCCTCTCCTGTGTGGGGGGGGGTTTAGCTGGACCATGGGACCAGCACCGTGTGTGGCGGAAGCCCTGTGCGCACGCGTGTGGCCGGGACCCTAAAGTAGTGGGACTTTGTAACAGGGGGTGTGCCCAGCGAGGCCCGGCAGTGTGACTACACAGGCCAGTACTACTGCAGCCACTGCCACTGGAACGACCTGGCGGTCATCCCGGCGCGCGTGGTGCACAACTGGGACTTCGAGCCCCGCAAGGTGAGGTGGGGGGCTGGGGTGCGGCCCTGGGTGTGCGAGGCCTGGGGGTGGGGGGGAGCGGGGGGAGGTGGGCTGGGGCGTGGTGGTCGGATAGGGGCGTGGCCAGGTGCTGACCGGCGGTGGGGGGTGGCTGGGCCTGGGGGCCGGTGTGTGCTGGAGGGGCCACTCCCTGCCGTCCCCCAGGTGTCGCGCTGCAGCCTGCGTTATCTGGCACTGATGGTGTCTCGGCCGGTGCTCAGGCTCCGGGAGATCAACCCTCTGCTGTTCAACTACGTGGAGGAGCTGGTGGAGATCCGGGTGAGGCGGGGGTGGGGGCGGCGGCGAGACCCGCCTGCTCAGGTTACTGGCCCATTAGCTGTCCTCTAGGCCCAGAGGAAATGTGAGAATTTCTAGTAGCCACATTACAAAAGTAAGAAGAAGCTGGTAAAGTTACTTTGAATAACGTATTTATTTCACCCAATATACCCAGAAGATTGTTTGGTGATCACTATACCTTATTAAGACACTAGAGGCCTGGTGCACGGAATTGGTGCACAGGTGGGGTCTCTAGGCCTGGCTGACAGTCAGGGCCTATCAGGGCAATCTCGCTCAGCCCCTTCAGGGCCTGCCAGCCTGGGGGGAGGGACCAGGGGAGGTTGGCTGTGGGAGTGCACTGTCCACCAGGGGGCAGCTCCTGTATTGAGCATCTGCCCCCTGGTGGTCATTGTGCACCATAGCGACTGGTCAACTATGGTCTGTTAGGCTGTTATATATATAGATTACATTCTTTTTATTTTTTGTCCTCCATCTTTTAATTCTCTGTGCCTTTTACACATGTGGCAATCTGGTCAGCCCAGCCAGCTCCAGTGCTCAGGAGGGAAGTGGCTGGTGGGACAGCAGTGCCAGGCCAGGAGGTGGTCAGAAAGGATCAGACTCCATTTACAGGGCAGGTGACTGAGGCAGAGCCAAGGCCCCCGGGACTGCGGAGGGCTCTGCATCCCTCCCAGAAGGCGTGTCGGGGTCCTGGCTGGCCCTTCAGCTTGGCTGGAGCACTCACAGCAAACCCTTCCTGGGGGTGTCCGATGACACGACTCCCTCCAGGGCCAGCCCCCATGGCCACACAGAAGCGCCTGGGGCAGCCCTGGCCTGGCCTAGGGGCCCAGCTGCCTCTCTTGTCCACAGAAGCTGCGCCAGGACATCCTGCTCATGAAGCCATACTTCATCACCTGCAAGGAAGCCATGGAAGCGCGTCTGCTCCTGCAGGTCAGACGCCGTCCGGGGAGGCGTGAGGCGGGTGGGAGACAGGCAGGCGGAGGAGGGCCCGTCACGCGCAGGTCTTTTCCGGTGGCTGACAGTTAGTGTTGGCACAGCAGCCTTTAGCCGAGGGTCTCCCACACTGTCCCAGGCAACACCTGGTCTGCCATAAGCAAACAGGCAATTCTGCCCCAGAAGTGTTCTCTGACCACATCGGTGTGTTGGGCGCTGTGAGAAGCAGGCCTCGTCCCTGCAGCCTCTACGTGGCCCCATGACGTGGACCAGGCATGGGCCTGCCCGGGCAGAGTGGAGCGGGAAGCACATCTTCAAGGCTTACCTGTTTGCTCAGCCCGTACTCACTGAGTGCCTGCTGTGGGCAAACACTGATAGATCCTGGGGAGCAGTGAACAAAACGAGATCCTCGCCTCATCTCAGAGGGGCCCTTCGGAGGGGGGGGGGGGGAAGACAAGAAAAATGAGCTGTTCCCGAGGGTGCTGAGGTCTGTGGACAGGAGGAGGCAGGGAAGGCGGTGGGAATGTTGGGGTCAGGACGGGAGGAAGAGCTGTGTGCCAGGCAGAGGGGCGAGGGGTGCGTGGGCAGCAGTAAGGGGGCCCCTGTGGCTGGAGGCGCTGACGCCTGTTTCTCCCACGAGCTCCCCGGACCCAGGCGTGGGCGGGCAGGGGAGGGGCGAGCCTCGGGCTTGGAGTCACGGCCGCTGGGCCCGCAGCTCCAGGACCGGCAGCATTTTGTGGAGAACGACGAGATGTACTCGGTCCAGGACCTCCTGGACGCGCACACCGGCCGCCTGGGCTCCTCGCTCACCGAGACCCACACCCTCTTCGCCAAGCACATCAAACTGGACTGTGAGGTGGGTGCCCCCTGGGGACCAGGCGGGGAGGGTGGCGTGTCCTGGCTTCAGGTGCCTCTGAGCAGCACTGACTTGCTCCCACCCACCCCCACCCCATCCCCAGCGGTGCCAGGCCAAGGGTTTCGTTTGTGAGCTCTGCAGAGAGGGTGACGTGCTGTTCCCCTTCGACAGCCACACGTCCGTGTGCAGCGACTGCTCCGCTGTCTTCCACAGGTTGGTGTGTCTCTCTTCCCCATCCCCCAGCCACAGGGCCAGGGCCAGGGGGAAGATGTTTGGGGCTTGGTCTTTGCTGCCTGGTTTTCAAAGCCCTTTGCCTTGATCCTAGATAGGGAGTTAGGCCCTGATGTGTGTGCCTGAATCGCAAGATCCTCTGGGACAAGCACCTGTGGGGCTGGGGAGGGCCCCTGTGTGAACCCCAAGGCTGTCCTGCTCCCTTATCCCAGGGCTGAGGTTTCCCATGGTTTCCTAAATCTAGTTCCTGGCACTTTTAATGTCCAAGGGGTATTTCCTCAAAAATCCCCAGGCTAAAAGAAATACCTAACATTTTGTTCATTAAGTATTTAAGTTAAATGTAAGCATTTATGAATTAAAGACTTACTGAATGTTTGGGACAAGAATATACATACATGGGAAGGAAGTATTTAACTGTTCAAGAAGCACAATTACTAATAATATGCGTCTGCCTGCTGGGCCCTGCACAGCTTCTCACAGTGGCCTCAGATGGGACAGCACCCTCCACCCCCCTCTGCCCACACTGGTTGTTTCCGGCCACTTGCTGTTGGTCATGGCAGCAGCTGACGTCACAGCTTTGCAGAACTGGGATTGCTGTCACAGGAAGGGTTCATGTTGAAGCTGTGAAATCCCTTGAGCTAGCCATCTGCATGGTGTGTGACATGTCAAATGCTGCTGTGCCCCTTCAGAAATTAGCCCACAGGCCCCTGTGCCTCCACAGTGCCTGGGCAGAGTGCACGGTGGCGATGGAGCAGGTAGAGTCCTGAGACTAAGATCCGAGCCAGACTGTCCTTGTCAGACATTCACAGGTGCCAGTCGCAGGCCCGGCAGGCACATGTGGTACAGACCCTGCCATGCCCTTTGGGAGACACTGCCTCAGTTTCCCCAACTCTGGAGGGAGCCCGAGTTGGGAAGCCTGAGGACTCACTGCTAACATTTTACATGCAGAGGCCCGCCCTGTGCCTGGGGTCTGACCCTGTCTGCCTGTCACTGTCCCCAGGGACTGCTACTATGACAACTCCACCACGTGCCCCAAGTGTGCCCGGCTCATGTTGCGGAAGCAGTCTCTCTTCCAGGAGCCTGGTCCAGGCGTGGATGCCTAGAGCCACGGGCACCCTTCCCAAGCCTCTCTGGAGCCCACCCTACCGGTCGCTGCCAAAGTCAAGGTGTTTCTTGTGCTCTGGACACACCTAGGGCACAGCCCCTGGACCTCACCCGCTGGGCCAGAGGGTGCAAGCACCACAAAGACCATCAGCCCCATCTTGCTGGGACTCAGGGCTGTGCCTGGCTGTTTCCTGGGTGTGCTGCTGTGAGGGCCAGAATGTGCCCTACCACTGCAGGACTCCATGGGCAGGGGAGTGGGGGAGGGTTTTCATCTTCCCCATGAAGAGCCCCCCATGTCCTTGGAGCCAGGCTGCTGGGTCTTGGCTACCCTAAAAACCCTGGAGGGCTTCCGGGAGTGGCTGACATGACCTGAGGACGCCAGCTGCACACCCTCAGCCCTGGCCTGAGGTGGATGATTGGGATCTACCTGGAGGCTCACATCCTCCACCCCTTGTCCCCTTGGGGTCTCCTGGTCTTGGCTGAGGCTCTTTACAGGTGTCTCCGGGGCCTGGCCCTGCCTCCACGGTTCTCTCTTAGATTAGAGGTCTGGAGAGAGCAGGGATCGACAGGGGTCACCGGTTCTTTCTACGCAACATGGCGGGAAGGGGCCGTGGAGCTCTTTCCCCTGGTGCACCAGTGTGGCTCCTGGCTGGGCCTCGCCCGGCTCACTCTGGTGCTGAGCTGGGTGGCTGGGGTCCTGCCCTGGCAGAGGTTCCAGAGGTCACTAGGTTTGAGTGGCATTTCTGGGGACCAGATTGGCCCCTGAGATGGTCTGTTCCACTGCATTGCCTGTGGAAGAATCCGGACAGTTCAAAGACCACAAGCCAGGGCCTTTTTGGAGGACCCTGAGGTCCAGTGCTGGGAATATTTGCTCCAGTGAGTTCAGGCAGGAAGCCTGGAGTCCATGAAGATGAGCATGAGGTGTGTGACACCCCATCTGACAAAGGACCCCAGACGGAGGATGAAGCCCACAGCACTTCCTCGGAGGAGCTGCAGCCAACCTCGACATCTGCAGGGAGGTTTCATGCATCAGAGACCCCGCCTTTGAGGGGAGGCCTGGGGGAAGAGTCCTTCCTGCCCTGCCCTGTGATTGGCTGTCACGTACAGGTAGTGGTGGTGGGGAGGGAACACCTTCACCTTTGACTAGGAAGCCCAAGAGGAGAGCGGGTCAGCTGAGCTTGTTGGCCACTGGCCGATGCAAGGGTTGCTCAAGACAGTGTCATGTGGCGGCTTTAGGTCTGCTCTGACCTGCCTCAGTGTGACAGCGAGAAGCAAGGCTGGTCAACAGCAGGTCCTAGGCCTGCCTCTCTGGTAGGTAGGGTTGCAGAGGGTTTAACCAGTTAACTACTACGTGTCCAAAACGGCAACCATCCCCACACGCCATGATATTTTGAATTTAATTAAAAAATCAGTTTGCAATGAATATTGTAAAAATAAATATATTACAATTTGTGTGTTCTTAAATATTGTCAGCTGAAAATTCTCACAAAAATGATTGTAAGGTTGGTCAGAGCTGCCACTTGGGGAAAGCATTTTTTTTATAGACACGCATGGCGTGTGGGGAAGGTCCGCCGCTTGGGTCTATAGATGCTTACAGCGTACAACGGGTTAAGGGCAGGTGCCTCCGATCTGCACCTTTCTCACAGCTGCACGTTTCTGTCATGGGGACAGAAGCCATTCCTGAGTTTATGTGTTAGAATCAGTGACCAGAAGAAACGTTAGCATGCTGGCATTTGTTGGACAGAGTTGGATTTTTTATTTTATTTTTTTAATCTCCCTGAATTACCTCCTGCTCCAACACCTCTCCCTTCTGGGTGACCAAGTCTCCAAACAGAATCACATGTGGTCTTTCTGAGTCCACAGAGCTAGAACAAGAACCCACAGAGGAACCAGTTTGCACAGCCAGCACCTTAGAGAGGAGCGACGAGGGGCACCCAGCTGGAGCAATCTGCAGTCACTGACTCATTAAATCTGTGTTCTCTAGCCTCTGCTGTGTGTGGTGAATCAAGGACAGGTCAGGGTTTGTTGACAGGCAAACCAATTGTGGGTTCTAGGAAAAGCCCACAACCTGCCCCGTCCAATTGAGTCTCAATCTGGTTTGGGGAGCAGCACTCTTGATGGGTGAGGAGCTCAGGTGTGGGTGTCAGACATAGGCCCGAGTGCTCGGATTCCCCTCAGCTTCCATTATGCTACGAGATGGATGAGAACACGGACTGTCTCATGGGCTGTTTGAGATCTAGGAGTCAGTGGTCACTGAGCAGGGCGTACAGAGAATGCTCAGTGTCCTAATGGTGGAAGGACTGTCTCACTGACGCAGCATCATGACGTAATGGGTCCCGTGCCTGTTACATCCTGTTGGGCCCACTACAAGGCTCTCACTGAAACTCAAGGCTATTCCCATTACCCTTGGCCTATAGGAAGCCATACATCCCTATGCAAATCATGTGCAAACCTCACTTTTCTACAGAGGTATCTGCAGATTTGACCAGGATCTCAAAGGGGCTATAACCCCAAGAACCTCGGAAATGTCTGCTCGTCAGTTCTATCCAATTGCCATCCAGATAAGCTGTCAGCAACCCTACTCCTAAAGGTTTGAACTGCACCTCGGCTACAAATAACTAAAGCTCTACTTTGGGTATTAGGGGGAGGATGCCATCGTTTTCCCCCTTTCAGGTTATGAAATAGTAATTAACATTTTTACTTTGACTTGGACTTATAGAAATGCAAGAACATTCCCATGTACCTGTCTCCTGGATGTCCTTCAGGTGAACATTTGCCCATTTGGTTCATTCTTTCTTCTCTGAACCATCTGACAGTAGGTTACAGAGAGGATGCCACTGCCTCTCAATGCTTGTGTATATTCCTCCCAACCAAGGAAATTACCTTACATGGCCTCAGTGCAGTTATCAGAAGACATCAGGAAACTAACACTGGTTAACAAGCTGTCATGTGCTATTTTTTAAAAAAGTCTACCTTTATCTATTTCTGGACTTTCTAATTTACTCCAGAGTTCTGACTACTAAAGTGCTTTAATTACAGACCCAATGTGTTTTAATGTCTAGAAGGGCTAGTCTCCTCATAGTTGTTTTTTTTTTATGAGTATTCTAGCATACAATTTTATTATTTTTATTAATTAATTTATTTATTTTTCAAAAAATGTCTTTATTGATTTTAGAGAGAGAAACATTGATTGGTTGCTTCCCATAGGGCCTGGAACTGATGAACCCAAAACCTGGGAATGTGCCCCACCTGGGAATTGAACCAGTGACCTTTCAGTGCAAGAGATGACTGACTACTCAACCAACGCAGCCACACTGTCCAGGGCTCATGCAAATTTTTAAAGTACATATTTAAATAAAATTTTAATGTCAAAATTTGATACCCAAGTGTCAAAATATCAGAAGTAAGGTTTTCAGGGATGTTAAATCTCTGGAAGCAGAGAGTCGTGGCTGAGCCTCATTCGTTGAGGTCATTTTGTTGCTTCTGGCTTTAACTTTTGGTTACACACTGAAAAGCAAACTAAGGTAGCTGCTTTGAGCGTCCTTTTTTCTCATTGTACAATTCCCTGTAGCAACTTATGGCACCACTGATTGCTCTCGAAACTTTGTTTCCACTCATCATTGGGACTGCTACTGGTAAGGATCTGTAAGCCAGCCTCAACATGTGAGAGGGCTGCCGAGAGTTCTGTGGTTAACTGAGGCAGAACAGGTTGTCTCCACTCTCCTCCTCTCCTGCTGGCTCCTGTTCCAGCTGCACCAGCTCCTCATTAGAGAGAGCATCCTCCTGTGACTGTATTTACCGATCTCCGTCAGCTTCCACAAGCTCTGCAAAACGGAGTCTTGGCAAGGGTCACAATGTGGTTTTTGAAGCTGTGCAATGTAATCTGCTTGGGAAAAATTCTGGAACTGAACACACTGGGGCCAAATTTTCTTCCACACACTGTTCATCGTTGCTGGCCTGAGTGCCTCCCAAGCTACTGCAATGTTGTCTACAGCATCCAAGATGCTGTAGTTTCTCCAAAACTCCCCGATCGTAGCTGTAGCCTCCCCATCTGCTGCTTCCAGCATGAGCTCAAAAGTCCTTCTGAGGTAATGAGCTTTGAAGCTAGAGGCTACACCTTGACCCATGGGCTGTATGTAGCCAGATGTACTGTCATGAAGATACTCCCCTCTGACGGTATCAGACAGATCGCTCGAATTTACGGGTGGCATGGTGCATTGTCTAGAATGAGCAATGATTTGTTGCTTAGGTTATTTTTGGCACAGTATTTTCAACAGCAGAACAAAAAAAGTATGTGAACCACTCATGAAAAATGCTCCTGGTTGCGCAGGCCTTTTTGTTCGAGTGCCAAATCACAGGCAAATTGGGCTTGGCGTACCCCTTCAGAGCCCTGGGGCTTCCTGAGTGGCACACCAATAAGGGCTTCAACGTAAAGTCCCCAGCTGTGTTGCCACAAGAAGCAGCATCAAACGCTCTTTGGAGGATTTAAACCCAGGCAGAGCTTTTTCCTCCACAGAAATAATCGTTCCTTGGGGTGTGTGTGTGTGTGTGTGTCTACTCACCTTCTTGGATAATGATTTTCAGCGCCTCCAGGTATGCGTCCTCGTTGCTAAAAGCTGTGCAGAATCATCTTGAAGTGGGGCAAACAATGGCGCTCCTTGAATCTCACAAACCACCCTTTACTTGCACTGAATGTTTCTTTTTGAGAGCTTCCACCTTGCTCATGCTGTAGGTCATCAAACAAACTCTTAGCCTTCTCCCCATAATCGTGGTATCGTGGTAACGCTCAGGGGCACGTTTCGCTGGCTCTGGCCTTACAGCCACACACGCAGCAGTCGCTCTATAGTTTCATGACTGCACTTCGATGGCGAGTCAACTGAGAGGCTCTGAAGGGAGTACCGGTAGCTATTCAATATTTGTGAACTCACCTTTCTTTATTATCTCGGATTTTCGCCACGGTAGAGACAGTAAAGCTTTGCCTTTGCGATCTGGCTGAGCTTTTCACCTACTTCAAATTGTCTTCACACTTCTAGGTTTATGTCGAGGGTAATTGCTTTCCGTTCCCTTTTGGCATTTGGGGCGACCTTTAGGGGCCTTTCCCGGGCATGTTTGCCTGTAGTGTGTCATGAGATCGCAGCAGTCTCCGGGGAGAGAGGGCTCGCAGGCAGCACGTGGGGAAGGGCCTCCCCGCAGACGTGGCCCACCACGGGCTTCCCAGCTCTCTGGCCCAGCAACAGGTGTTCATCCTCGACGCCAAGGCGGGCACAAGGGCCTCTGGGTCCATCAGTGTCCAAATCGCTGGGCTGCACAGCTATAGGCGCATCACCACTGGAGCGGGTTTTTGTGGCCCAGAGAACAGACAGAAAGTCGTGACGGGGAATAACGCTGCACAGCACACACCGTGTCAGCTCCTCTGTTCGGAGGGTTATCCGGGCAGCAGCCCACACGTTCGCTCCGCGCGCCGGTCGCAGCAGCCCACCGGGTGGGAGTGGGTGGGGTTCGCTTCCGTGAGCCGCTGCCCGTGGAGGACCCCATAAGTGCGTGTCTTCGTATATGCCAGATTCAAAATAAGCCTAAAAGCCCTCGTCCGAGCACCCCGTCGCACTCGTTAGCTGGTTTCTGTGCCCAGGCGTCTGGGTAGGGGAAGGCAGCGCTCCCGTTCACATCCTTACACTCAGGCGGAAAGTGGACTCCTAACGAGGTCCTTGCTGCGCATGCGCACAGCTCCCCAAGCCGGCATCCGGCCTCGGTGCCCCGATCGACGCGGCACTGCGCGCGCGCGCCCCCCAGCGGCTCGTGGTCGGCGGCTCCTGTGGCTCCGGCTGGTGGCGGCCCTCGCCGGGCTGTGGCGATGCCGTGGTGGCCCGGGACCTGGCCGAACCGCCGGGCCTGGCGTCGGAACCCTCCGCACAGCTCCGCAGGCGAGCGTGGCCGCGCTACCTGTGGCTCCGGGAGGCGGGTGACGCCATCCGAGGGCGCCGGCCGGCGCGGGGAGCGGCCCGGGGGGCCGAGATGAGGAGGAGGGTGGATAGTGTTGGGTGACAGGACGGGGGGCTCAGAAAAGCAGGCAGAGCAGCTTCTCAGCGGCTCCCACCGCGGGCTCCCTTGGGAACCTCAGCGGGCACCCTGCCTCCTCTCTGCTCTGCAAAGAGCCCAGGCTGAGCGTCTGGGGTTCCAGTCCCGCTCCTCCCGGCCCCTCGCTGCGACGCGGGCACGGTTCTGCCCGGGCCCCGCGGACGTTCTTCCGCTTGGTCTGCCCCTCAGAGCTGCTCTCCCGTTGGCTGAGCTAATGGACGCGAGAGTTTTGTGTATCTTTAGGAGTTTCTAATTTAGCAGTCCCTCGTTGAGCCCTACCAGTAACCGCTCGTGCTGTCCCCTGGGGCCTCAGGGACTGAGCTTCCCAGACTCTCCCTGAAGCCTCGCACCTGTCCTCAGTGGGCGCTGTTGCAGCCCTCCTACGGAAGAGGAGCCCGAAGACCAGAGCAGGTGCTCTCGCCTTGCAGTCCGTGTCCTCCTGCTCCAGCACCTCCCCTTTTAAATTCTTCTGTGTTGTACCCCTCCCCCAGGGTTAGAATCTGAAATATTACTCCATGATTTAAGGTTGTTTATTTTTTATTGATACACCCTAGAGAGCAGTAATCACATTGATTATTCCCCCCAACCCCCCAATACACCTACGTGTAGTTTTTGGGTTTTGATACTAGAAAGATACCTTGATTTCAGATTTTTTAAAAAATTTTAGTTATGGCTGAAACCGTTTTGGCTCAGTGGATAGAGCATCGGCTGTGGACTGAAAGGTCCCAGGTTCAATTCCGGTCAAGGGCATGTACCTTGGTTGCAGGCACATCTCCAGTAGGGGATGTGCAAGAGGCTGATCGATGATTCTCTCTCATCATTGTTTCTAGCTCTCTGTCTTTCTCTCTTCCTCTCTAAAAAAATAAATAAAAAATATATGTATTTTTAAAAATTTAGTTATGGTGACTT